CCACCGTGGCTTTCAAAGGGGAGGGCGCTTTAGCCACAAAAAGGACATGGCTAGCTAGCTAGCTAGCTAGATAAAGCTAGAGAGCGAGGTAGCTAGGTAGCTAGTTAGATAAAGCTAGAGAGCAAGGTGTAGCTAGCTAGCTAGATAAAGCTAGAGAGCAAGGTGGCTAGCTAGCTACTTAGCTAGCTAGACAGACAGACGTGCTTCGGTGCCGACACGCAGACACCGTCTCAAGTTGTAGGATCTTTCCGACAGTCAGCGTCTTGATTTGATCACGCAGTCAACTGTTCGCAATTCTGTTCCCCCAACAGACATCGGATCTTCCTGCGCCAAGCCTCAGAGAGCTTCTTGATCTTGTCGGGAGTCTTCCTCTCGAGGGTCAGTCTCTGTGGCCACACGCTACCGGCGCTAAGGTCTTCGCCGACATTTCGAGCGGGTGCCCCCCAGCTGCTGGGCCAGCTGCCGGCCCTCTTCCGAGCCCACCGGATGCTCCTGGTTCTGGGCCAGTCTGATCAGAACTTGCACGTCTTCTCGCAGGTCCAGCTGGGTGCCCACCAGGACGAGAGGCGTGCCGGGACAGTGCCGACGGATCTCGGGCACCCAGCGCCGGGTCAGATTGAGGAAGGAAGCGGGTCGGACCACGCTGTAGCACAGCAGGAAGACGTCGGCGCTTCGGTAGCAGAGCGGTCGTAGACGCTCTAGTTCATCCTGGGAGGAACCAAACTCGGTCAGGATCAGTTCATCTGTCATGACAATACAACCGGTTGATTGTCTCGTGCACCAGACTCAGGGCAAGTATGGAAGGGGCCAAACCAAAACGGCGGGCTCCTGTGTCAATTTGGGCAAGTATTCTTGAGAATCTTGGCTACAACTTGCAAGTGGAAATGGAAAGAAGTTTTCGGGGTTTTTTTTCCTTTAATTGTGGTTGGTTTACATTTGAGAGTTTCCTGTTTCACGGTGAGTCAACAAAATTCACCACCGTGCTTCACCCACATGCAATGATTAAAATCTGTTACACAATTTTAGTATCGGGCATTTGTCTACTCAAGTGTCTGTGCTTCAATTTTTTGCAATGTCAAACCAGCTTCAGGGGCAAAATTTAAAAAAAAAAAAATCGAAAACAAGTTGGGAAGCTAAAAGTGATTCGCTCATATACTCACTGCTACAATGGCTGGCTGATAACTGATTACTTACATTGATGGATCCATCGCTAGTTCCCCATTTCTATTGTGACGGCACAGACAGGAGAATTCACATTACAGAGGCAGTAGTGCAGTGAAAATAACAGACATGCATTTGCGCCTTGTACCTGGCCTGCCGTGTCGCACAGCTGCAGTTTGATTGGCACGCCGTCCACCACCACCACAGCTGAGGAGACAGAGGATATGCTAGCTCAGGCAAGCTAAACTAGCATAGAATAAACTATCGAGGACTTAGCTGTGCTAGCGTAGAATAAGCTACAGAGAGCTTGGCTAGCTCAAGATTGGTTAGCGTAGAATAAGCTATAAAGGGCTTGGCTAGCTCAAGCTAGGCTTGAGTAGAATAAGCTGTCGGGGGCTTGGCTAGCTCAGGTGATGCTAATTCACAAGCTCATGTCAACAAAATAGATGTTTCACTCCCTCAACTTGGAAGGAATAGTTGGTGATGGCGCTGACATTTGTGGAAGGTGATATATTCCTTTGAACCCGGTGATTTATGACCAAATTGAGTTTTTATTGCAGGAAAAGTGTGGTTATTTTGTAGTTTTATGACATATTTTTCTGCAGTATTCTTAATACAATGCTTTGAAGTAAGAGTGACCCGACTTGGGAGTTTTTCAAGACACAAGCCCGTGTTCAGACCATATTTTGCTTAAGCAACCACAAATTGGTTGCCAGCCACTCACAGGGCAGTTTTCCATGAATCTACCATGCGGGTTCTTGGAATGTGGCAAGAAAGCGGAGTGTCCGGAGAAAATCCACGCCGGCCTGTGGAGAACATGCAAAATTCCACAAAGGAAGGACCGAACCCCGGACCTGTGCAGTGTAAGGACGACGCGCTAACCAGTCGTTAAGTCATGCGGTTATAATGTGTGTGTCGGGAGGGGGGTGAGGGTCATAAATCATTGACTTTTGGGCAATTATAGTTTTCCTACATGACAAAATGGAGGGGAGGGGCGGGGGCGAGAGGGTGGTCAGAGCATCGCCAACTCAAAGCGCCCGTAGGCCACCAGCTCGTACCTGTGAAGTTGTCGAGGGCGGTGGGCACGTATCCGGCGGGGTAGCCGTTGGTGGTGTAGCTGATGACCAGGCTGGTCTTGCCCACCGCGCCATCCCCCACCAGGACGCAGTTGACGCGGCGCTCGGGCGCGGCGACCGAGCGCTGCCGCCTTCCGGCCAAGTGCGGCAGCAAGCGGCGGCAGCTCGGCGGGGACAGCGTTAGCGTCGTTAGCGGCAGCGACACGCGGCGAGGCTCGGGCCCGCTCGCGTCCCCGGGAAGCATCGCGAGACGACGCGACGGGAAGAACAAGACCAAGACGACGCGGCGAGGAAGCGTCAGAGTGCGAGCATCCTGCACGAGTGCTCTCCACAGGTGTGAAGACACCCAAAGTGTGTTAGTGTGTGTGTGGGGGGGGGATCGTTCAGCCTTCTCCTGATTGGCCCGCTGCTGTGCGCGTGGACCGTCGCTAAGGAGCTTATGCGGGGTGCACGTGCGCTCAGCAGAAGCATTGAACAGGAACACAACGCTGAAAGACATTTTTAAAACTCTGGCAGATATTCGTCACATAGACTACTAATATCGAAATACAAGGGTAGTTCACCTATTATATTACTTATTATATATATTATAATGTATATATATTACCTATTGTTCAGCCCGCCCTGACAGCACTAGGTAGCTCCTTCAGCCAGAGACTGTTACACCCGCGCTGCAAGAAGGAGAGACACATAATGTGGAAGACAATTGTAAATAGCACTGCGACCTTATCCATATCTGTATTTATATTGCACTTAATTGAACGGTGTTTGTTTTCTTTTCAGCTTTCTTCTTTCTACCCATTATCTTACTGCTGTGGACTGTAAATTTCCCCATTGTGGGACAAACAAAGGATATCTTAATCAAAACCTCGGACATATCTAAAACGGATCTCTCTGTAACACTGACGTTGATTGCTGTAAGTTGAGGTGTTCGTATGTTTTTTTTTTTTTTGTGGATAGCTCTACTTTAAGAATGGGCAAAAGGAGAGATGGAATCCTTTGACCGCAGCTTTTCAACGCCTGCTCCGCAACTGCCGAACGAACGAGAACACAGCTTTTTCCGGGAACTCAAACACTTCCGGGTTTCCTTCAGCCAATCAGACAATATCCACATAAACTTGTTTGAGCAATTATTAAACGGAATATATAACCTAGGTAACTGTAACACAAAAGAATATCATGCTCAAATATAAAATGAAAATAATTAATAATAATAAACATAAGCGTCAACACATCCTTTTTTTTTTTTTTTTTTTTTTTTTTAATGGAGCCGCTGTTGCCTTTGGAGCTTCGACGTCCATATTTTTGCCTTCGTTTCTTGAGTCGCACCACTTGACGTTCACGACGCGTTCACGTTCGCTCGAACCCATCGAGGTCGACGTTAGAGCGCGACGTCCCACAAGCTCGACGATTCCTAAACCAAAGCGGATTCAAGTCGTCATTTTTCTGTGTGCGCGCCGTGTTCACTTGGCAAGTGGCTCCACTGTTGTAGCGAGGATGTGGCGCCCTCTCGCGGCCACCATCTGCCAAGCGAGCATGTTTCATTGACGGACACCGCCGGGAGAGCTTGCCGCCGCCACGCTACACCGGTGGTACGGTTGAACACCCCCGCCGCCAACCCCACCCCACCCCTCAAAAAAAAAAAAAAAAAAAAAAAAAAAAACACGTCGGTCAACGAGTTCTTCTGTCATTCCTAAAATGTCGATTTCCTATTATTGCAGGCCACCGAAAATTTGGATATGATGAGCACTGGGAATTCAAATGAGTCAAATGAAACTTGTCAAACAAAGAAGGGAGATAGATAACTGTTAACTTGGGAGGCTGCCTCTCTCTCCTTCTCTGGCGTACACGCACGCGCACACACACACACACAACACTCCTCCTTCCTCTTCTTCCGCACGTCTCTTTCTGATCAGCTGAGAGACGCTTCCCTCTCTCTCTCTCTCTCTCTCCCTAGTAGGGGGGGGGGGGGTAATGTGGCAGGGCGGCGGTGGGCCTCCATAGTTATGGCCCCACGGCCATCTGTCACCGTGCGCAGTGACGCAGCCTCCAGAAGGCCGCAACATGTGCGCATTTAAATGAAGAGCGCAACTTTCCCAGGACACGCGGGCCTGACCCCGTTTTCCCGCGGGCCTGACCCCGCCAGCCGCCCCCCGCAACCCCCCCAGCACCAGCCATCCAGCCGCCCGTCCTGTCCCCCCCCACCCCACCCCAGTCCCCCGCGACAGGGAGCGCCACAACCTGTCGGGCCACGCCCACCCGGCACCTTATTGCAGACGCCATCATGGATTTCCAATCTTCCACCTTGCGTGGGCCCCGATGCTGCATTTGGATTTGGAACAGGTCCAAAAAGAACAAAAACGGAGAAAAAAAAATCAAGACGGAAATCTCAACAATGGCTTCCGGTCAATCAAAGAACATGCGAGTCCCACAGAAGGCTGCAATCCTGAGTGAACAATTCTTGCCCCGGGGAGAAGATTTGAATCCTGGCGGACAATTTTGCTCCACTCTTGAAATTGCGAAAATCAAAATGAACCAAATTTGGGTCCAAATTTACACCCACCCTCAACTCGTATCAATTTGAGCGCACCCTTTTTGTTTTGTAACAAAACAACCCAAAATTGGGTCAAACTAATCAGAGCAGGCCAATTTTCCACCCGTCCCCCC